CAGCAGGAGCGTTAGGAATTACAGGCGCGCATTATCGGAAGTCACCGCCGAGCAAAAGTATTTTACCACCGAATGGCCGGTGACGGACTTCAGTTAAGTCCCTAAGAATACGGTCCATAGCCATAAGCGCTCGCCATTCACAGATGGACGCTTCATCCATGATAATTAACTTAGCGTCGATCAAACGTCGGCCTCCGACGCTGGCACGGCAAAGACCGCAGTTGCTGTCTTCCATGAGGGGAACGGGGAACTTTGAAAAAAGAAGTGTGAGGTATGGCCTCCAGGCAAGAGAAGGGCCGCGATTCCGGTCCATGCAGAAGGGACGACGACGTGCCCGTTATTTCCGAAAGTACTGTATGAGGGCCTTGTACAGAAACGTCTTACCCGTACCACCCAGGCCATCAAGGAAGAAGCAGGTAGGGCCTGCGTACGACGGATTGAATGTGGCGATGATGGCATTGTACGCACTGAGTTGTCCTGCATTCAGACGACCAACGTTTTCTTCGTTCGGTATAACGTACTTGTCGAAGGGACGCAATTGCCCGAATGCGGAGACTGGTGGTTCGGGAAAGTTTAAGTTGGTCCAATCTACCATACTGGCCTCGGCAATCAACCGTATGTCACGTAGACCATGTGCGAAACGGAGATTGTCGTCGGTACTGTAGACACGGATGCGGTCATGTGTGAGTTCTTCCTTGTGACATTCCCACATTAGGCCGCCGTTGGATGGACGGGTCAGGGCAAGTAGTTGGCCGAACAGAATACGAAAAGCCCGTGGATGTTGACATTGCGCGACTTCGTCTAACGTTTCTTCGAAGGCAGTACCACTACTAAGTGAAGAGCTCCTCCCAGATGCGAGGGCCCTTGACATGGTGAAGCAAGAGGCGAGTGGCAACCAATTCTGGGTTTGTCGGTGGCACTTGGAAGATGCGGCCAATTCGACGCGTTTGACGGACACCGGCGGTCCAGGTTTTTGTCTGTTTATTCCAAACAAAGCCTTGGGGTATGTCACGGTATAAATAGTCGCGAGCGGCCGGATTAATTGCATTGAGCTTAAAGAATGCCGTAAGCTGAGTGTCACGATTAGCTGCAATTTGGGCCGCAGGACCTGCTTGACCATCAGCAAAGTACACCGTACGGTCGTTCCTTGTGTGTACCGTAAGACGTTCTACAGCGTGTGAGAGGCCGTACATGTTATATTTCATAAGATGCCAGTGGGCCTCGGATGAACCAACGTACCGTAACGTACGGTACCTCTTGATCTCATTAGTGATCTCGGAGCTAACAATCTCGGCAATGTGTGCGACGTCGTGACCTTTATTAATATAATTAAATATATATTTAATGACACGAATGCCGGAAAGGTGCTCTACATTAATGTGGCAACCGAACATCTTAGCCAGATAAGGATTGTACGGCACGACGTGACGATTGTCCAAGCGAACTGGTATCTGACCGCGCCTCTTCATAACGTGTCGGCCGTTGTCTCGCCAGCGGTAGAGAGGATAGCCGTTTAATTGCACCTGAGTATGATTTTGGAAGGCCTTCGGAAAATTCGTTTTACATGTAAAACCGCCGCCAGGCGAACAGATTTCGGTGCAAAGATGAAGGTAGTTATTACAGACGATTTCATACAACTCAGGGTCCACCTCTGGGTCTGGTATTTCGGTGCAAATGATCAGATCGATATATTCGGGATCCCGCGAGTTGTGCGGTTGCTCAACGGCGATGATCCAATGAGAATGAGGGATCTGCCGCTTCTGCATCTCGACAGAGTAGCCAGAGTAGCGGATATTGCCGAAGAAGGCCTCTTTGGTTACCAAATCCTTGAAGTGGTTTTGTTTACAGTGGAAAACACGGTTGCCGATATCAGGCCTTAAATCGCGTTTGTTTCCTGGATTGAGACTGGCTTCGATCTCGGGCCAAGCAGGGTTGGCCGTAACTGTTACAAAGAATGTCGCAGCACCAAGTTGCATGGACATGGCCAACATATCGTGCATAGTATTCATTGCATGACGGGGTCCGCCGATGAAGGTGGACGGCAGCAAGACTGGTAGACTGGTCTCAGGATTGGTGGCGACAGGTTGGTCGTCCGACAGAACATTTCTGCAAGCGGGGTTGTTGAAGTCGCCGATGTTCTGCAAGGTGTCTCGACGCAGGGCACTTTGATTGTCCTGTAACCATTAATAGCTTATCTTTTTGAACACGGATAGCCATGTCGACCAACCATTGTTGAGACAATTTGCCAGAGTCCTGCAAGTATTCCTGGTTGTCGCGAATGGCCATCTGATAAGCGGCGTGCTCACGAATGGTAACGTGTTTCCGGGTGTTGTTTTCGATCGCATGAGGTATGCCGGTGTGCCATCCGATTACGGAATATGGATCAAGAAGAGGGTAGAGCATGGCGTCAAGAAGCGGATTAACGATCTTGACGATCTGTAGAGGTTCGGCGTTAGGACTGGCACGGTTTTGAATTATAAGTTGATGCTGCTGGCGAGGAAGACCATCATGGTCACCGTATAAGACCGCAACATCGTCGCGTATAGTTGGAAGGTTGGTACGTCCAACGTGTATACCGGCGCCAGCAGAGCCAGGCAACAACTGTATGTGCACTGTAGGTCGTGGATGTCTGCAACGAATCAACTCCTGTTCTTTCTCGTACGCGTGAAGGTACTGATAACACGAATTTTATTCAAATATGCGAGGGTCCCATTTAGTGGCCTCATAGCGGAGTTTTGTGGCTGTTTCAAAGTCACAAAAGGCCGAGGCATACGGCATCGTTGCAGTCGTACGTGGAATGTCTTCTTGGTGCAACGGGCCAATGCAATGAAAGATTTCTCCTCTACCAATGAGATAGTAAGCGCCAGACAGAGAGTGATCAATTTTAAATTCAAGAGAGCAGAAGCCAAAGGCAGAGTTGAGGTAGCGACTATTACCCTGAAAATATTTGAAATCACAGTGAGCTGGATTAGTGAAGACCTCACGGAGGTACGGGTGGATCGGCCGAAGGGTAAATGCGACCTTTCCATCAGAGCAGCAAGAATCCGGTACGCTCGGATTCAAAGTGTTTCGCCATGCAGTGGAAACAAATGGCATTCATCGCCCCCAATGTTGTAATAGTAGGCATCAGTAAATGGTTTCGTGGCCATAGCTGCTTCGGTACGGCGCACAGTGGGACAAAACGGCTTTCGGCGATCAAAATTCGATTTTCGTGAATTCGAAAATTGAAAAACAAATTACATACATCGATAGAGAATAAACTGTAGTTTAACGTAGTGTAATCCGTTTTTTCATATTTGTTTCCGTTTTGCCGTGGTTCGCACTCAAAGTCAGTAGAAATTCATCAAAACGAAACGCTGATAATACTACTGGTAACTTCAATGTACGATTCTAACTGAATTTTACTCGGAAAGATACAATTCAAATGAATGATAAAGTTTACTAGGATAGTATAGATTCTATTCAGTGCATAAAGTAAGTTAAAATGTTAACAACTTTTTAAATAATAGGATCTGATTGAAACGAAGTATATTTAACTAAAATCTCAACTTTGAGTTTGATTTTAAAAAAGTGCCACAACTTGCACATGTTTAATTATTACTGCAGGAAAGAGTGAACCTTTTTTTTTCGGCGAGGGAGTGGAAAATGCTTTAAAACACCGGGCGGGAAGTACCAGCCCGGTAGTGTGGGACTCCTGATACCCAATAAAAGCCACACCCCCTCGTACTTACCCCTATGTCTGTCTGCCGGAGACCAGGCAAACCGGAACCGCCTGTGGGCATTACTTCGGCCACCTGTTTGTCCCCCCTTATTCGATTACCTCGTATTCGTTAATCAGCGATTTTAATTAATTATCCTATATGTTTCCCCACTTTCAGTACTCAGTCATCACCACCGAGCAGAACACCGCAGGTTCCCTGGAAATTTATCAACTCTAAAGGCCCCTACCTATTTAGAGTCCCTAGTTTCCCTTTATTATTTCATATTCATCATTACCCTCTAGAAAATACTTTACTCAGGTCTGGTTACCGTCATAAACCACAATGCACGTTACCCATCTCTATTACCCGTAGTCTATGGTCGACGCCAGACGCCATTACAGCTCATCGCTGTTTGTCATGTATGTATCTATTTCGCTTCGCTTCCTTAGCTACTACATAAAATAATTTAAAATATATATATCACACCTCCTTTAAGATAAATATAACCAGTTCATATAGTGGGTTATAAGTTTAAGTGTGTTTATTGGCGTGTTTTTGTAGTTGGTGCTAAATCTTCGCATTCTATACACTACCTCTGAATATCATCATGCCATATCTCCTTTTCCTTTCCTACTTTAGATTCTCTCTTGTCATTTACCGCTGTGTACCATTAACTCACTGTATAGGTTATTCATCTTCGTGCATCTACGAAATCACGTAGCCAAACAGGCCCACCGGCCTCCAGATCAATCGTGCTCATCCCACTACCCAGACAACCAAGCAAGCAGATCTTTAAGTACCTTCATATTTACCATGAGGTCTATCACAGTCTACGCTGTCTCTTGTCTTACTAATATACCTCTCTTATGCCTAGGAAATTATTCCCTCGGTATCAGCATTCGTGCTCACTTTACACGTACTATCTTTTCTTATATCACCAATTATACGGTAAATATAAGCCTTTTGTAATTAGCTAAACATTAAATAAATAAATAAATACTTTAGTATAGACACTATCCTTGGCCTCGCGGTCTGTTTCATAAATAAAATAAATAGCTACGTATAGCAACTAAATAAGTAACCTTATCCGGTTGGCGAAACCCAGTATAATATCCATAGTTCTATTTAGTATAGATAACAGCCTCCACTAACCCGTATTAGATGAAGCCATTCCAGTATCCTGGTCAGCGGAGGAACTGATTCAAATTTTGTTTCCATTCCTTATATAATTCTACATCTAATTAGCATTTCTTTTTGGGGTAATCGACCTACGTATACTCAAGAGGCAACTCCTAGACCCATCGTGCAGTACCAATCCGTAAGGCGAAAATGGAATATTATACATTGTTTTAAACTACCCTTTCGTATCGTGGATATCCTACAGGTTTGTTCGGGTATGGGCCCTCCGCTTAGATTTCTTTATATACACAACACATATATATACAGTTTACATGTCATTACACCTTATTCTTACTCTTTTTATTCACTTAGAAATTTCCTATTTCATTTATTTCTGTAGATAAACTTCCCATTGAGGATTCAGGCTGATTCTCTCTTGCCAATTTTACTGGATTATTAGTGATTGATGTGGGACCAGAACTACAAATATATTTGATGTTTCAGGTACGCATTTATCATTTAGGCATTATTTTCCTTATCCTTTTTTCTTTCTTTTAACCGGTGTACCCTTTCCCATTTTCCTTTTGCTTTCAGACAGTTTCCAAGGAAATTTCTCACAAAACCATTCATATTTTTGTTTTTCAATAGCTTACTAAAGTTTTGCACATTCCAATTTTCTGGGTGTATATTATTTACCTACTCTTGTCTTTCTGATTCCCATCTAGGGCAGTTGAAGAGTGTATGCTCCGGATCATCGTTCGGGTCATCACAGAAGCAACACTTCGGCGACCTCTCTTTACCTATTTTATTTAGGTAAGCACCAAAACAGCCATTCCCTGTTAGTGCCTGTATTGAATGGAAATCTATAGTTGGTATTCCGTTCTCGGTCCACTCCTCTATGTTTGGAATTAATCTGTAGGTCCACCTTCCTTTAGTTAGCATATTCCACTCCTCCTGCCATTTTTCCTTAGTCTTATCTCGTTCTTCGTTCTTTATTTTATTAATCGCCTCGTTTTTCTCCTTTATCCTATTTATTTAGGAAAGAGTGAACCTTCCTCTATCAGAATCTGAAAAAATTAGGTGCACTTTTTTGCACCTTTTCAAGAAAATGGCGATTGAATGAAATTACAACCCATCTTGGCTGCTGGGCGCGAAGATGGAAAAGCAGTAACAGATACGATTATTAACCAGTTAACTGCCTTATTAACTATTACTTTTAATCATTCCAACGTGTATATTCGTCATTCAAAACTTTATTTCGTCCTTGCAATATGCCATAATAAATTTTCATAATTATCGAAACGTTTTTTCACGAATGATTTGGTATAGATTATAATAAATATAAATAAATATATTATAATAACACATGTCTTGTCATTTTTTAATTATTATATTCCTTTCTCTTTCCAGTTATTAACAGTTTTAAGTCAAATTTTTGTTAAATAACATAAAATATGTCTAACAAATGCAGGATGTTGAACGCGCTACAGTTTATACGTGAATATCTTGACACCCTGTAGTTCAATATGATTTATATTATTACAACTTAAGTATCATAATGTAGACAAAAACTTCCCAAAATTTCATTAAAATATTTCCAATAGAACCGAAGTTACAAAATTTTGATCGCCAAGAGCCATTTTGTCCCACTGTGCGGCGTACGATTTCTTGGCGTTCTTTCAAACGATATTATTTCTCGCGTTGTAATCGGACGCCGGCGTTCGTCGATACCGGCGGGCGTGCGTCTGCCTTGTGCGTCTTCTTCTGTGGAGCGTAACCACTGTGGGCCAAAACATCGCCTTCCAGTGTATGGTAAAATCTCGCCCGCTGGGTCTATATCGGCGTAAATGACTGGTCGGCCGACGGAGCGTGGAGGAACCGGCACTGCTGTGTTACGTAAATTTCGTCGACGGGTGGGTGATGGAGCGCGAGAAGAGCGAGAGGTTGGTGGCTGCGGAGCAGGCGAAGCGGGAGCACGCATCAAGGCGGAGCTCATTGATTGATTAGGAGGTGGAGAAGGTGTTTCAGAGCGGCTCTGAGATTGTATTTGCGAGTTACGCTGGCGTTCCTTTCGACCAATAATGGTACCCCGGCGACGCGTTCTAATCGGACGGCCTCGGGGAGCGGTATTTCGAAGATTATCGTCCATGATTTATATTCGATGCAGTGACAGGAACAGAATTAATATAAAATCTATTTAGTTTTACGTGATACGTTTTACTTACGTCGGAAATAGAACAAAGAAATCGAAAAGCGACTGCAGGAACGTAAAGATCAGAATGAGCTATCCTCAGAAGGACAGTCGCTGACATATGTAAATGGGCGCTTATGTACGATAATAGAAGGAGCAGAAGAGCGAGCTGCTTCAAGCTTAAGCCAGAACTGCAAACAGTAGTAATACCGCCATCCATATCACCGTACAGTATGGGGTCCGTGATTGCAAGATAGTAAACGACAGAATGAGCTATTATCAGAAGGACGGTCGTTGATGTACTATATTTGAACGGGCGCTTATGCATAATGATAGAAGGAGCAGAAGAGCGAGCTGCTTTAAGCCTAAGCCAGAACTGCAAAAAGTATCAATACCGCCGTCAGTATCCCCGTACATTATGGGGTCTGTTCTGCATTTTTTATGCCGCAAGAATATTTGGTTTTCGTTGCAAATTTATTTGAAATATTTTGAAAAACAATTTTTTGCATTAACAGATTTTCGAAATTTTTTATTTATATACTTGTTTATTTATATACTGCCCGTTACTTGGGAATAATCCGGACAAATAATAAGCTAACTGCAGCGGGGGTGTCCCACTTGGACGTCGACCGATTGGAGGCGTCCCGATTGGACGCTGGGCCGATTGGACGCGTTTCTTTTTGGACGCTGTGCCGTTTGGACGCCGGATGTTTTAAAATCGTTGCTTTTGAGAGTCGGCAGATGGTGGTATTGTTCGTCGATTCAAATTCCTATGCTGGGTAAACTTTACTTTACCGGATCCAAAATTTTGGACCTTTTTTATTTTAACCTATAGATTTTGATATGTAGAATCCGAAAATGCAAGTCTTAACTTTAGGAATCCAATGGTTAAAAAAGTTATGAGCGTGTAAAGTTTGACACTTTTAGTGCATTTGCTACGTTACTGTGACGTCATATTAGCTTCTTGTCCAATGAACGGTGTCGCTAGCTGCAGGCAGACGCATGCGGGTGCCGACCACTTTAGCGGGTTTAGTCAAACTTTAAATTTGATACTGTCCGAGTTAGTTAGATTTATATTTAGGTTAAACATTACTTTAGGGGATACCAAATTTTTGGGAGTGTGGGTTCCATCATTAGCTGTATTTAAATTACTCATAAAATTGATATAGTAAAAGCAATAAGCAAATGCATGGATTGTACCCTCTCTCTTTAAGATAAATGTAAACCTAACTAACTGAGACAGTATCAAATTTACGATTTGACTAACCCCGCTAAAGTAGTCGGCACCTGCTGCCTGCAGCTAGCGACCCCGTTCATTGGACATGAAGCCAATATGGCGTCACAGTAACGTAGCAAATGCGCTAAAAATATCAAATTTTACATGCTTATAACTTTTGAACCATTGGATTCCTAAAGTTGAGACTTGCATTTTTGGATTCTCCGCATCAAAAACTATAGATTCAAAAAAAAAGTACAAATTTTGGGTTCAGTAAAGTAAAGTTCACCCAACGAGATGTCCAGTTTTTGACAATTCCGACTTAGCACGGTGTGTAGTAACGCTTGTTTCATGAAACAACTAAGATTAGTAAATTATGTATATCGTTTTGACAGGTATAAGGTTAGAGTAGAAGAATATTTTACAAGGTGGTTATTAAGATACCAGAGGATCATTCATCCACGTATTGCATGTAATTGGACAAAAGATACAATATATTGCCTAATTATGCAAATGTACTAGTTTTTTTGTTTCATTAGTAGTGCATAAGTGTTTTGACAATGCGGCATGACATGGTGGCGTAGCATACTCCATTTGCAAAGTAATATCTATCTATTTACCGCAGTAAGAGGAGCATATAATAAAGTCTTGTCAATAAAATAACATAGGTTGCAGCCCAAAAATCAAAAGTTACATGTAATTTAACATTATTTGGTAAGTAGTTTTGTGCATTAGAGGTATATTGCTATCGCTGTGAAATCTATTCACATCTACCATTTCCACAGCCCCTAATTAATTTGAGCGGCTCTTATCACCTTAATTGGATGAAACAGAAGAACAATACGCTTGTCTCATAAAATAACTAAGGTCAAATAGTTATGTGTAACATTTGACAGGTATATGTTAGGTTGAAAAATATCTGGAAATTGAATGCAACTACTTTCTTCCACGATATATCTGGAACATATGTTTAAGGTAAAAGAAATATTATATCTTATTTTCTTTAATACATTCTTTATTCCAAAATTGATGTTGTTGAGTACAAATGTATCAATATATTATAATATGATTTGATTTACTTATTTCCAGCATTTATTCAGACATTGATAAGGAACTTACAATCAAAAAATTATGGAGTTGATGAATTTGATAGATACATTGAAACAAATTATCCAAAGAAGAGGATTATTAAAGTAGATAAGTTTATCTTCCAAATCGTGGACTATAAAAACCAACTAATAACAAAAATTTTGTTCTTTGTCCTAGTATTTTATTCCACGCTGGTTAATTTCTTTAATGGTTCTATTCAACTTTTCTACTCCATAATTCTTTGGTTGTAATTTCCGCATCAATGTCTGAACAGGTGCTGAAACTATAAAAAAAGATATATTATATATTCATACATTGTACTCAACAACATCAATTTGGAATAAAGAATGTATTGAAGAAAATAAGGTTTAATATCTAGGTGCACGGCAGTGCACCAGCCAAGTTCTCGCACTACCTCCTCTTACACGAAACAACTTAGCCGTTTTTTAGAGGCCTATAACTCGGCACTGAAGGCAGATGGATAGGTGCAATTTGTCTCAACATTGACAAAAAACTAACTTTTCAACATTAGTAGGTTCCGAGATATAGGACCTCAAAAATCGCTAAATTTGTCACTGACTGACTTATAGATGATCAAAACCTTCTGGGTACTTCCCTTTGAGCTAGAAGCTTGAAATTTGGTTCATAGGTTCACCATAACGTACGTTCAAAAGAATAATTATCAAAGTTTGAAATTTTACACCTTAAAGGGGTTGTATTGAAAAAAAGCATTACGAAATAGGTACGTAGGATGGAACATAGCAGCATAACATATATAACAAAAAAAATTGAAGGGAAGATGGGGGATTCAATTTTCGGGTTTTATGCCCAAAATGGGATGAAAAAATAGTTAAAAAAAAAAAAACTAATTATGTCATCCATTTGATTTGTTAGAAAATTTGTTGCGCAGGAGCCGAGATGAAAAAATAGTTAAAAAAAAAAACTAATTATATCATCATTTAGAATGGTCTGTCAACGTTTTATTATTGACTTTCTTTGTAAAAATGCATTTATTAATTTACTTAATATCTACCTTAAAGGTAAAAAATATTTAGGATTGAATGAGTCAGAGATAAGTGTAATACCTACTTGATAATTCATGAAATCCCAACAAAAATTGATGAAATCCCAACAAAAACATCCTGTAAATAGGAGCCAAGTTCTTATGGTCGTAAAAAGTTGTGAGATCAAACTAAATACGGCAAGTTCGTTAGCTTAGAAATAACGCTTGCAATACTGAAAAAAGCTTTTGTGAAAATTAGGTTAAAAGAACGCTATTTAATTTTTGAACAGTTACAATGGAGGGCTAAATTATTCAAACTTGGCCGTTACCTAACACCTTATATGGCCATTGGTTTAAAAAGTAACGGCCAAGTTTGAATAATTTAGCCCTCCATGTAACTCTTCAAAAATTAAATAGCGTTCTTTTAACCTAATTTTCACAAAAGCTTTTTTCAGTATTGCAAGCGTTATTTCTAAGCTAACGAACTTGGCCGTATTTAGTTTGATCTCACAACTTTTTACGGCCATAAGAACTTGGCTCCTATTTACAGGATGTTTTTGTTGGGATTTCTTTACCTCAAACATACTTCCAGATATATCTTGTAAGAAAAGTAACTGCATTAAATTTGCAAATATTTTTCACTCTAACCTATACCTGTCAAACGATATACATAATTTACTAACCTTAGTTGTTTTATGAAACAAGCACTGCTATACACCGTGCTAAGTCGGATTGTCAAGAAACTGGACATCTCGTTTCTTACACTATTTTGTTAGAAAATATAAGAATGTTTCGCACAATTCTCAACATAAAATCCACATATAAATTAAATTCACTTCCAAATTTAATATCTTTGACCATATATGTAATCATATTACTTCAGCATGCATACGCATTCAAATAGTATAGGAATTTGAATCGATGAACAATACCACCATCTGCCGACTCCCAAAAGCAATCATTTTAATACATACGGCGTCTAAATGGCACAACGTCCAAACGGCACAGCGTCCAATCGCACGGCGTTGCGCACCGCGGTCGGTTTCCCCGTGCCAGGGTTCGCAAGGGAACGGGTTTTGGTAAATAATGAGGCAGTGTATATGGAAAAATATATCTGTTTATTCAAAACTACTGTAGACTACTATAGGTGGTACAGGGTGTCCATCCCCGCCGAGTTGGTCGGGCGGCGGTGCTCTCCTGCCTCGGGAGCTACAATCAAAGTATCGTCTGGTGGTTAGACGCGTGGAGCCAAACTTAAGCCTAATGTACAGGACTTATGAACTACGGTCGGAACCCGGTCTGTCACAGAAAATACGCGGCCTTAATTCTAGCGCAGGTCGTAGCCATCGCTACGCGGTCTAACGGCGCGATGTCGGAGCGCGGAGTGAAAGCGCTGAACGGAGCGCGAACGCAAACAAACGCAAACGTACGCAAACGCAAAGGAGGTAGAGGCGGGATAGGATTGGCCCGGTTGGGCCGACGGTATTTATTCAAACGCGCTGCGGTGTTTCGCGCTGCGGTGGAGTTGCTGCCCGCTTGCCTCACGCGGCTCGTCTTCTCGTACGCCGAGGGAGAACCGAACAGCGAACGAGACGACGACCAATCCTGGCCAGCCTGGGTAGCGCCACGAAATTGGACGGAATCGGCTGCCAAAGGCAGAATGCGGTGCTGAGTAGGCTAGCGTTCGGAATCCCCGTGGAAGTACCGGCAGAGATTATGAACACGCACTAGCTTGGTCACCCCAAGTCAACCACGGAGATGACGAGGCTAGGCGCCTACGGCTGCTGGACCGATGGGAACTGCCAGGTCGTGACGTAGTGCAATGCCACGGCTCGACGGCCAGAGATCTCTTCGCCAGGTCAGCCATGGCGTCGAGGATGGGCCGAAGCCCCGAGGCAACTCATCGATCATCGCATTGATCGGTCCTACTTATAGTCTAATCGTACGGGAGTGGGGATGCCGCCGCGGCAAAGGCCCGCGATGTGCGACCCGATCCGCGGCTGTCGTCGCAAGCTAAATACCAAAATAAGTATATTGAATAAGCCAGAGCAAGAAACATAATTAAGTAAGTAACTAGGCACATTGCAGTACCGTATTTGTGTAAATACATTATTATACAATACCAACAGGAGGCCAATTGCCAAAACAAGGTCTAGTAAAACGATGACTGAAATCAATTCGAACAACAAATATCGCGCGGGTTTCACATAGAACCAATCAAACGGATCGAAATTATTCAAAATAATACCTCAAAATAAACAGACATTTGACAAGGGACACAAAAGGTGGGCCCAGCAGAAAGAATATGGACCCGACATAATATACAGCCAAAAATAGAACATGATGAATAAAATCAAATGGAACGATAGAACAATAAGTTAACTGTGCAAATAATTAAACATTATACTACCGTGACGCTGCATAAGACATTAAATACAGACACCGGATAAATAGAACAAATACGACAGTGACCAAAGTCAATTATCAACAAAATATAATTGCGCAAATTAAGTAAAACCAATGATAACAATAAAACAATAATAAAAGTTAAAGCAGACCTTCAAAGGCCAATATTAGGCGACCATTGGCGGTTACCATCAGCAGTCGATCCAGCTTGCATATCATCGCGAATAGAACATACAGCGCCACGTAACAATGATAACCACTATCTCAAGTCGGGATTAATGATCGACGATAATCAATGTACATCAAGCTACACTGTTTGGCCCCAAGGCAATGAAAATAATCCAACCACCTACTGTAAAATAACCTCTGGTTGCTGCATTATCAACACCATGAGCGAAGAATTTGAACTGGTATTCCAAAAAAATCAATTCCTTGATTAATTAAACAACTAAACATGTATCTAACTCAAGTCAAACAAGGCCAGTTAAAATTAATTGATAATTCAGAGTAAAACAGAACAGTTAATAAAAGAAGGACAAAATAATAAGAAATATGTGAACTAGACATAAGAAACATAAGAAATATATGTGAACCTGACATAATGTGGACAAATAATCAAACAGCAAAACGTCAAACGCCAAACGTCAAATCAAGGAGCAGACAGCGAACTGCAAAGAATATTGAGCGCGTAATATCATCGCACCGTTGCGAATAAAACCGATAAAATGGAAGAATTTAAATAAACTATAAAATCAACCAATGGTGTGAAATGAAATAAAAGGTGCCAAGCAGCAAATAACAAATGTCAGTCAACATTAGCTAGATTAAACTCGGCGACAAAAGTGCAAACTGCATAACACCACTATCAAGAGTAAAACAAAAAAAGCATTATTCATTAACAAAATCCTACAGGTAAGAAACAAACCAACCCATTAATAATCATCATCAACAAATATTAACCTCAAAACTTCTCACCCATTTCAGATCAACTAGATGGAATCAAAATCAAGACTTAGCCAAGTTAGAGTAACTGTTTGAGCGAACGGTCCAGAACTTTCGCGAACTCAGAACCTTCGCGCATTCTAATTTTAAAGGCGCTCCGAAAGTTCTGGAACCTTTTGGTTTCCAGACCTTTCGGAGCCCGCTAGTATATTTACCGTGGCGACAAACCGCTTGTATTCATTACCAACTGATCGCTACGCAAGCAACAACATTCTCGCATTGTCTCGTTCTATCGAACGTCGCACTTCGTTCCGCTACGGTCTAAGCATCGAACCGACGCTTCGCACAAATACTTAATCTTATTTGTTAACAGGATTTGTAATCCAGACGACTACAATCTACATTGTGCGATTCGCTAAATTCGGTTTCTTACTCACTCACGTCCTACCCGATCCGGCACCCGTTTTTCTTATCACGGCGCACTTCAAGTTGGCGGAGATCGTTCAACCAAATCGCGTGAACAGTAACAATCAACAATAAATAGGAGAAGAAGAAAGTAAATCATAGAAAACTGATAAGTATAAGTATAACAGAAGTAAATCAAATGAATGAGGCAAAGTATAGCCAAAAACATCGGATTTTAATACCAAATAGGCACCATGCATTGGCACAAAATAAACAAAGGAGAAGAAGATCACCACAAAGGAAAAAGTGCGCCACACATGTATAGAATAATGTATGTATGACTGCAAAAACCCTTCATAATCTATTTATCAAATCTATCAAGGTGACAACCAGAAGAACGACTAGAAATAAGATGGAACTAGATTAAAATGCTGAACCAGCAGAAAACACCTCCTGAGCCACCAAGATAATACAGGTTAAGAATTGATTAAAACTTCTATTACATATAACCAAACCACCTTGCAATGAACAGGTATACTTAAAGATAAGCAAATAATAAACCGAACAGGCCAGAATCAGTAACAAGACAAATTATTGAAATTTCAGAAAATTTTACCAACCTATCATGAAAGAATACCATACCTCCACAAAAGAAGATCTAGTTTAATATCTAGTTATAAGTCAAATAATTAGCTGAGGATAGATCCAAGAAGGAAAAACAATAAATAATGGTAAGCATAATTGTTGGACCGACAAATTAATACGCGTGTTCATACTTGGCGCGTTTCTACGTCACCGCCGGATTCTGCTAAGAAACAGGAAAGGGGGAGGCGCTGTGTGTCGCACCGTAGCGAGCGCTGCTAGCGCACTTTTGTTTTATTATTGTCTCTCGATCGCTTTCGCCGGACATGTGCGTCGCAGACAACCATTATTAAATTTCTGGTGATTAAACTACCTTTCTTGAACTGTCGTGCATTATTTCGTCCAACCCTCGCCTTTAACAGGTTATGGGCCCAGAGTGCTTGAACTTTTGCTTTGGTCAGTGCCGACAATAATCGCGAAAGTTTTCTTTTTCTGCGTAACGTGTTTCGCGTGCCTGTTTTCGAGAAGCTTCTTTCGAGTGATAGACGAACAATGGCGGACACGTCGGATTTGAGAAACATCTCAAAATTCAACGGACAGAACTATCAACTCTGGAAGTTCCAGATGCGAACCATTTTTATCGCCCACGATATCCTGGACAACGTGGAAGGAAGAAAGACAAAGCCAGCGCCGGCTACAAATGAAAAACGCGGCGCAAAGGACCGCGTGGGCAAAAAAGACGCGAAAGCCATGTTTTTTCTATCCGCGTCCATGGAATACAACCAGTTAGAGTATCTTGTAACGTGTCTCAGTGCGCATGAAATGTGGGACAAACTTTCCGGTATTCACGAACAAAAAAGTGCGTCAAACAAGCTGGCGCTTACTATGAAATTTCATGAATATCGTATGACACCTGGGGGCTCTATACCGCAACACCTTGGCCAAGGTCGAGAATCTCGCCCATCAATTAAAGGACATCGATGAAACCGTGGTCGAACACAATGTTATGGCAAAGGATGTTGAGCACGCTGCCGGCAAATACAACGCATTCGTCACTGCATGGGAGAACGTCGCCGAAGCCAACCAAACGCTGACCAATTTGAGGGAAAGATTTGCTGCAAGAAGAAAACCGAATGACAGCGATGGTCACCGTGGACAGCGCCCTTGCCACCGTTAGCATCTCCAAGCGCATAAAAAATGACCGTCGACCCAGCGATGACAACGTAGATCAGCGTAAGAAAAATATAACGTGTAATTTTTGTAAAAAAAGCGGTCACCTCGCGCGTTTCTGTTATGCTATAAAGCGATCTAAAAGCGCGAATAAAAACTCCAATAACGGCGACAACCATCAAAAAAGTAACCAAAATTCACGAACTTTCACCGCGCTTGTAGTTTCCGGAAATAGCGAAGATTTCGTCGCTGTTAACCCGAGCTCTTTGGAAGCCGGTTAGAAAAACGTTTGTTTGCATGACGGGGATTCTTGGATTTTGGATAGTGGTGCGTCGCGCCATATTTCGTGCCGTCGAGAGTGGTTCCGCGATTTCTTGCCTTGCCGAGGCGAGTACGTTTACTTCAGTGACGAAACAAAAGCGAACATTCAAGGCCGCGGTAAAATTCTTATAAAGAGATTGATCAACAACGAATGGCTCGATGGGGTTAGTATAGATTTAGGGGCCTTTGGGTACATGCCTCCTCGTGGATGGGACAACTTCGCCCTCCTTCAAAGGCGGTACTGAATATGCTATCAATATTTCCCTGCGCTATTATAGATCTTGAACAGACAGAAAATAAATCCCACGAGACGTCAGAAGTGGTAGAGGTAGAACATACATCGGCCTTCTTAATTATCTCGGTAAGCGAGTTTTAGTTGGAAGTATTATAGCATATCGTAGGTCGGCACTAACTCGGCGAAGCTCATTCCGAGTTTTGTAACCCAAGTCCGAGAGCGTCGTGGAAATATTAGATATCACGCGCTCGCATCTCACGGGATAACAAGATACCAGACAGACATGGTCCTGTTGCACAAATGGCCTCTGTTAACGGCTAACGTTGCTATGGGAGCTACTATATCCTGAGTGGACTATAAAGAGCGCTGGGCTTCTTTAAACGGCAGCCACGCAACCGCCGGCCATTTTATGCCACTCGGTTCGCCGCAAAATCGCGTAATGAAAGCGATCCCAATGGCGGACTAACGACCTAATCTCAAAACGACGTTGTGTTGTCTAACGAATGCGTGTTAGCATGATAGGAATAAAATACAGACCTCTGCTTTATTACTATTTGGCCCACTCCGTAAAATGTAGATGGGGTTATGATGTTTTATACGTACCATCGCTCAAGAAAAACTTGCTTTCTACCGGCGCACAGTGGTCAAAAATCACTTTCTAGGTGGACAAAACTCTAAAATCCCGTTTTACCATTCAGAACAGGGTAAACCTATAAATAATAATAATAATAATAATAGATGTATTTTCACTTATTTAGGTTAAGTTTAGTTCAGTTATAAGGTTCAACTCAGTTATAGGGTTAAGTAATTTATTTACGGAATAAATACCAAATTATAAAATTAACATTAAAATGAAAAATAAAATATTAAATTATAAAATTAAAAAATTAAGAATTTTATGATTTATATAAAAATAAAAAATTAAAAAACTTCTTCACTCGAATCATCTTCTTCACTTGACAGTTCAAATTCATCACTTGACTTCTCAAGGCTTAATTAGGATGGCGGAGCACTGCACTTTAATAAATAAAGTACATCCGAATCTAATGGTATTTTATTTTTCTTTACAGATTTCCAATATGAAGCAATAACAGGGTCAGATGAAACTAATAACATAGTTAGCAAATCACTCTTGGTGTCTATTCTTGAGTTTTTTTTTGTATTTCGTTTTCTGTAATTTCTGAAGTTTTTGTTCCTCGCTTCTTGAGCCTCTTCGGTAAGTTGCCCAATCGGAACGCATTGATTTTCAATGATTTGGGCACTGTGGTCGAAAATTTTATGAATCGTGGGAGTCACCCCATACCAGGGGTACAAATCAAAGTAAACTTTTTTACATCGATTTCAAAGCCCGAAAAAAGACTTTGGAGGATGACTCTGAATCTCTTTATAAGGGCTTCATCTAAGCCAGTTATTGACGCACTTACAGCCGAATCCTTAAAAAATCTTCTGGCTATGTTTCCATCATTGGTGTTGCCGAGCCCTTGTTTTGGTTGGTCAACGTTGAGACCTAACCGGTCTTTGAATTCTTTTTGAATTTTTAATTTTTGCAAAGAAAACTTATTGCAATCTTCTTCCGTTTTCAAGGTTTTTTTCGGTGGGTTTAATGTTAACCTGTACGCGATGTTAAGGAGGAATTCGAAAGTCCTAATCCATCCATGTAGTGTAGCCAAACAAAAACTGTAATGTTCTATGGTGTCTTCTGGAAGTGAAAAATTTGGGTCTTGAAATACCTTAGGGGTTGCTTTGCATATATAGCAAGTCTGAGTTGACTTGGTGCCTGTCAATGCGTTACAAGCTTTACCATCAAGCATAGTTAACGCCAAATTGTGCGTTATAGATATTTCCTCATTTTCAACATTAACTTTGGTAGGAGTCAGGGTTCGGATTTCTTCATTCAGAGATTCCGTTTCGGAAAATATTAGGGAGGCCGTTTCTTTTTGAAACATAAGTTTTATGGACGACAATACCTAGTTGACCCTGAAACATTGTTTTTCCATACACATGATTGATCGTTTATAGATACGAAATTCAATGGTACCAGCGAAAACATGAAAATATTTTCATCAATTTCTTTTAAAGAAGAAAATTTTTGGTTGTGTTACGCCCCGGCGGAAATTTGAAATTTATCCGCCTTGCGTCCCTTATCAGGCCCTTTTGGGTTACGAGGATTTCTCATGTAAGAGGCGTGAGGTGGGTGTTTCACTTTTCCGCCAATCCTTTCCATTCCTCCTCAACCTTGTGTATTCTTGTCAAGCCATTTCGGGTTACGAGAATTTCTCATGCAAGGATGTACAAGGGAGAGTTTCAGTTTATTGCTTTTCTACTTTTTACTTCTCCTATCGCTTTCTCTTCTTTACCTGCTCTACCTTGACCTCGTGTATCTTGTCAAGCCCTCTGGGGTTGCGAGGATTTCTCATGCAAGATACACGAGGAAAGGTCGTTTCTATTTCCTTGTTTACAATAGTTTACGTGACCCTCCTTGAAACTATCGTCGCTCAACCTTTAGTAACCGAATACAGTTTATAATACCGCACAGAAACTCGAGTTTAGCTCGAGAGAGATAGAGACCTAGCATAACACCAGCGCTACGCGGTTAGCCAGTGCTTCGCATTTCGGGAATTTCCCCTGCTAACTGCGTCGAAACGGGCAAACCGTAATAACTTCTTTTGTCGAGCGCTCTTTCTCTCTCTTCTGCACAAAGCGTCAGCCAGTCCAACAAGGATCATTATTATACGAACGAAGTGATGGCACGAAAGAGTGGACGAATGTAAATGTATTTGAACAATGAGAGAAAGGAATGAGAACCTTTACGAAAGCGAACGTCGCGAACGTTCGACCGCCGTTCGAAATCAAGGGTCGTTCAAAGCAATAAACACTATTGTATCGGAAATTCCAAGAAATTGCCTGGCGACAAGACCTAACGGCAAATTTGAACAAAGGAACGTTCTGGAAGGAATGTTCGTTAGATCGAAAATTGTTTAAATTCATTAGAAAGCGAATGCCGAATCCATCTGAATAAATATGCATATAGATTCAACAAATGTATAGTTTGTCACGGCGTTGTAACTACCGTAAGCGCATCGTCCGCTGTAATTAACCACATTAATTAATAACCTTCGTTGCAAATCGAAAAACGAATAATTTTAATCTTTGTTAAGGTAAAATTATATGGGTGACGGCCTCATCCTTAAAAGACTATATGTTTCATCTTATATTTCATACTATAAGTTTTAACCTGATTAATAGTTGCAATTTTACCGCAATACAATAATTATAAATTCAACTAGAAATACTGCGTAGTTTTCGAAACCGTTGAAGTGATCATAACGACGAAATAGAAAGGAG